CCCAATGTATGTGAGACAGTCATTGATTAAGAATTCATTCCAAAATTTCCAAGTACTGTCAGCCTCACCTTTCTGCTGTAAGTAACACTGAAAATCAGAATAATTGATTTTTTCAGCAATAAGCAATTGTATTGTCTTCAGAGCTACATCAGGTTTAAACTTCTGTTCAGATAATTCTTTCAATTTATTTGCTACAAGATTAGGCAGGTCATTCATTTCATTCTCAGAAAGGTATTGTGTTACCATCACATGTGCCACAGCCTCCCATGTTTGAAGGAGAAACTGGTGTGTACGTTTAAATGATTTGGCAGTTTCCAGTGACTGTAATGTCATACCACGGTAACCACATCCTATTGCTATTTCCTTTAGTCCAGCAACATAATATACCTTCATTAGAACTTCTTGATAGTTCTTTAAGATATGCCAATCACCAGGAAATATCAGTAATTTTTCTAGTGATTTACCATACTGCCTCTTGATTTGCATTAAATGCAGATAAGTTTTGCCATCACCAACCAAAACTACAAATTTTTGGTGCTCACTTTTTGAAAATTTATTGAGTAAATCATCAGCTACCTGAAGCATGGCATCATCACTATCTGCATTTTCGTTAATTAACTCCAAGTAATGTATTTTGGAAGGTTCATTTCCAAGTTGTGGAGCTAACTGATAGCTCATAAATAATCGATAATCATTAACAACCTCATTTTCTTGGTTGCTAGATGTTATTCTTTTAATTACATATGTAATTAAATCTGCTCTTATATTGGTTAATTGTATTTCTTCAACTGCATTGGTTTTGTAATTCTGAAGTGATATGTTTTGTTGTTGCTCTTTTTGTGTAGGCTTTGGTTGAAGATTGGGAAGCAAATTCCTCACACTGACAGTTCTTTGTCGTTTTGGTCCCACCTTTCCCAACTTATGTGGCGAACTTTCAGGAGATGCATCACGAATACGCCGCCTAAAATTAGTTGAATACAATTGTTGAGCATTCTCTTCACCCACGATTGTGGTTCTTGGAATATCCTGTGTAGACAAACATGGGGTCAGTCAAATTAGAGTAATTGATTCTGGTGTCATATACTTTTAACATATTACTGTTACATTTGTTATTGTTTATTACTGTTACTATTACTTTTATCATGCCTATTACTATTTTATTTATCTTTACTAAAATGCATATACTACTATACAATTACATGTACCTCATGTGGTGTTGAAGGTTCACATGAGGCTTGACTGACAAGCAGTGTATAATGTGGCTGTACGAGCTGTACTGTTGTTCCATGGTAGCTCCTTTGATGATCTCCACAGTAAACAGCAGCATAGCTTTGGAGCATATCAAAGTTATCTGTACTAGCAATGGTAAATACTGTTTCTGGTAAAGATTCCCAAATAGATTTTTCTCTGTGAATTTCTGCCTGATACGTAACAAAACGGTCATGTGTGTCGGGTGATGATGTAATTCCCAATCGATTCAGTATCCTAAGTAACTGTCTAGACCCACCGCACACCTCTACTACATCAGCTAATAAATTATGGATTGCTGCTGGTTTGTGGGGATGAGTGCAATACATCATCATTGACAAAATAAAAAATAAACGTAACTTTCTAATGTGTGAGCTTTCTGCATTTGGATTATGGTTGTCACGAGCAGCCTGCGTAGCTTTTTGTAGAAACATAACTAGGTCTTGGTTTACGTTAGACATGTACTTCTCTATATCAAGTGACAGTGGGTCATGCTGAGGTATCGTTGCTTCATTTTTCTTACTTTCCTCATGAATGAGATTGTTGATTATGACCCCTGCTTTTTCAAGTATACTGGTATTGCTCTCAGCATTAATTGTTGGCAGAAAAGATTCTACCTCACTAGTGTTAGTATCTTGACATGTTCCTACAGCCCATGATAGACTGTGAAGTAAGTTTCCATTTTTACGAAATAGTAAAGTTCCAAACTTTCTGTGAATGCATTTGTAGTCCATGTAGGTGTGTAAATAAACTATAAGCTGGTTGAGTAACCATCTGGATGAAAATTTGATGGTGTAATCACCTAAATCTAGATTGATATCAGTTCTTGAAGAATCAGACGAATATGAAGAAATGAATAATTTAGATGCCACTGGAAGCAGGATAGCCCTATTTTGCAGTAGATGGTTGGCAACTGTTATTACAGTACAAAGTGTGCTTCTTGTTGGTTCTTCTGTTGTGTTGTTGTACTTGCCACTCCAAAAATCAATATCCTCTTTAAGCTGTTGATCACTTCCAATTTGATGTTCTTCCAAATTCTTGATTATTAGTAAATGCGTTCTGTAGCAGCTATAGCATAGGACATCATTCATTTCAATATCTTCAGTGACATTTTGAAAAACGTTACGGAAGTGAGTGTTCACAAGTAATGCATTGGGACTGTGCCAGGTTAAATGATTTTCCTGCTTTGGGTCTTGCTCCACATGATGCACAAGGTATTATTGGTTTCAGTGCTCGGTG